AAAAAAAAAAAAAAAAAAAAGAGCAGTGAGTGAGCACAAACCACAAGCCATTGTGCTGAGGGAATGGGAGGTAGAGATGCTGAGGATTCCTTCTGGGGTAAGGCCTAGGGAACCAGTGGGCCATTTGAGGCCAAGTGAGCGTTCGTGGCGCTGGGGTCAGCCTGGCGCTGAGCCGCAACCCCAGCCCGGGGAGGTTTCAGAAAACAGGTGTGGCGTTGAATCCTGGGAGACCTGGCGGTGTGGAAGGCCGGGTCGGGAAAGGCAGGACTGAGGTGGCCCCTGTCCTTGGGCCTCTGCGGTTGATCCAGGCCCAGGTGGTGGGGCCCAAGAGGTGTGGAGCTGGGTGCGAAAGGATGGTCTTGGAGAGAGTTGGTTGGGAGATGAGGAGAGGGAAGAGCAGCGGGCCCTCTGGGCTTTCTGGCTTGGACTGCGTGTAGGGAGTCATTTCTGCAGTCCGGAGGGGCGAGGGCGAAGGTGAGCTGGAGGCTGAGGTATCTCACGCTTGGGTGCAGAGGGCCTGGACTGTGCTGGCGGTGAGACTTGGTGCTCAGCCTGGCGCGTGTGGCTGTAGGCGTCTGAAGCTTGGAATTCTTTGTGTCATATGAGCTGAGTTCCTCTGTTTTGGCTAAAAGTGTTTTTTCCCTTTCTTTTCTACCCTCAGGGAGCTTACCTCTTAGCAGCTTCAAATGACTTTGCCAGCCGAATCTGGACCGTGGATGATTATCGATTACGGGTGAGACCCAGTTAAGAAAACTGCGTGTGGCTGTCAAGGTGTAAAATATAGAAGAAATAGGAAACAATAGGGGACTTGTGTGTATGTTCCTGAAAAGCATTCTTGAGTCACCCTTTTGTTCATGGGAAGACTGAAGTTTCTGCAACGCACTCTCACTTCGTCCAGAATTCAGTGTTAACGTTGCAGTGGAGCCTCACATTTTCTGTCCATGAGAACTGGCTCAGAGACAACTTGAGCTGAGCACCACAGCTGTCAGTACAGGATGTGAGTCGACTCTTCCAGGCCCCAACCCAAAACCCTCCACAGTAGTGGGCAGTGGGGTACACAAGCACCTGAGGGCACAGCCACACCTTGTCCTGACAGCTGGGACCTGTCACAGCTGTGTCCCCTCATGACTCGCTCCCGCTCCCCTTTCCAGCCAGAATGGTCCGTGTGGTGCTCACCACACATGCAGCTACTTCCCAGAGCCAGTTAGTGACGAAGGTGGAGATCACTGCGGTGCTTTTGATTCACTGAGCTGGGAGACCAGGCAGGTAGAGGGAGAAAAGCGAGATCGGTGTTGAGGAAGTCTGCACTTGAACCCGACTTGGCATCCAAGATGAAGACCAAACCTTGATGGTGGTATCACTTACATTCTAATGGGAAAATCAGAGCCTGTGGCTTCATCTGCAGAGAAATTTTGTTTTTTCCATTTGTTTGGAGACAAGTGTTGCGTGTATAGCTCAGGCTGGGCTGGAACTTGAGATCCTTCTGCCTCAGCTGCCGTAGTGCTAGGATTACAGGCTAAGAGATGCTTTTACTTCTTGAGTTTGAATGAGTTACATAGCTTACTGATAAAATTACTGAAATATACAATGTAGGGCACCTTTGTCGTTGGTTGGCGTTTTACCATAAGTGGAGGAGAGCCAGCTGGCACAGGCTGTTTTTGTATCCAAAACCAGCAAGATAAGCTGTTAAATCTGCAGGGAGGTTTGTGGCAGTCTCACTGAGTAGTGCAGGGACAAAGGTAGAAGACTTTGGACAAGGGAGCTTTCCATTTCCCCAGCCACAGGCGGGATGGTGGTGATAGCAGGTGGTTGCCCGTGCCTCCAGGGTGGCCATGTTCCATTCTCGGGAACAGAGGTGAGCACAGAGGGGCCGCCTTGTGTTCCTGCCTTGGGGCGCAGACTGCTTGGACACATTTCTGGTTGTCACCCACAGCACTGGTGCTGCACTGTGAGTGGCCTAAAGAGGAAGGATTTTCCCAGATGCCTTCTGCGTGGGGGCCCTAGTACTGAGCTGTTGCTGTTAAATGTGTTACTGCTTTTGACCCTTGAGGACATGAGGTGAGGTAGGTAGAAGAGGAACCTTGGGCTCAAGAAAGCCAACAGAGGGCAAGGCTTAAGGTCACACAGCTAATAAATGACAAGGTAAGAATGTGAGGGTGGTGATGCACACCTGTGATCCCAGCGTTTGGGAGGCTGAGGCAGGAGGATCACTGAGTTCAGTGCTAATCTGGGCTACATAGTAAGTTCAAAGCCAGCCTGAACTAAATGGTGAGGTCCTGTCTGAAAAGCTTAAGAAAGGGCTGGGGATTTAGTTCAATGGTGCCACACCTGCCTGGAAAGCACAAGGTGCTGAAGTTGATTCACAGTACCAAGGGGGAAAAAAAGACATTAGAATTAAGGCCTAGGGTCTTTGCTGTTTTTAAGTGGTCTAGATTTTCTAGACTGGAAGAGTCCAGTGACCACCTGCTGAAGAAGTGTCAACAGCCTGATTTGGCTTCAGCCTGGGGAGGAGGAGCGGAAGCAGTTGAGTGCCTGGTGCTGTTTTTTTGTTGGTAAAAAGCTGTTCTGTATAGGTGGGCATTGAGCTTTAGGGCTGGAGCAACGAGGAGACTTTAGGGGCAGACAGTGGTCGAGGTGCTGGGAACCTTTGTGAGCTGGCTGGAAAGCTGGCTGGGCCCCTTGCAGAGGGAGCCTGGACACAGGTAGTCTTTCCAGTGCTGTGGCCTCCCACGCTGGCTGACTTGCAGCTGCATCGGGTGTCTGGCCCCCGGGTGAGTGTGAAGAGCCGGAGGACTCCCCCAGTGGGCTCTGCACACCCTGCGTTGCCGCATGAAGAAGTTAGGGGCTTCCTATCCAAGGAGGCTGTGGCTTCCCCGGGACCCAGTGGGCAGATGGCATTGGAGGACAGGGTTGGACTGTCTCTGCACTTGCTACACTCGCGGCATTACACACGGCCACATCCGTATCTCCTTAGCTTTTATGATAAGGCAGTGGTGCTGGGAGAGACCAAAATTTGAGAAGTAGCTGGTTGTGGTCTTGCTTTAAAACCCTTCCGGTAAACACATCCAGGAGATAGCCCAGCCTGAAACAGCCCTGCGCAGTCCTCTCTTTAACACTGGAGGGTGCTGCAAGGCTGCCTGCTGCTCTGTTGAGATTTCTCTTGGGAGGCACGCCTGGAATCCCAGCACTTGAGGCTGAGGCAGGGAGATAGACGTGCATTTCCAGGCCAGCCTGAACCTGTCTCACTTGAGCTGGCTGTGCCCACTCATTGTGGAGGGGGAAGCAGAAGTGGCCGTGGTGGGGGCTGGCTGCTGGGTAGGTGGTGGCTGCTGTTTCCGAAACCTCCCCTGCGAGCGCTGCATCCTCCTGGGTCTGGAGTCTTTGGTTGATGTTCATCTAGCTATGTGATGAAGGCATCTGAATGGGCAATTTTGTATTCAGAAATTGGGATCTGGATGTGGGATTTGCTTTGAGGCCGGAGAAAAGTTGTGCACAATGTAAAGACAGTGTTCAAATTAAATGCAAACTTCCAAACACCTCACAGCTCATAGAATTTTAGCCATACCCAATCTAGTTACGAGAAGGGCTCTTTGCACAGTGGGTGCGCACTCATGGAAGCCCCTCCCTGCCACTGGGCCCGCAGGTGCAGCCCAGTGAGCCAGGTGGGCACCCCACCGAGGGCGAGGGCCAGGGACATCTGTCCTTGGAGTCCTTGGTCCAGCCGCTCTTTTCCTAGAGACACGTCAGAAGGAAGTAGGCTTGCAGATGTTTGCCACCAAATCGCAGGTGACAGTGACTGAGTCTGTGGCCAGAGGAAGTTGTCGCTTAAATCACAGTCTCATCATGAAGGCACAGCGTGTAGGTAGCTACAGGGGACTTGGAGAAAGGGGCCACTGAGAGGACAGCGGGCGCCGGCAGCCTGGTGAGGTCCACACGACACAGGCACAGGGAGAGCAGGTGCATTTAGTCTGCAGGGCTGAGTTCGCACAGCCCCTGAAGGCAGTGACTCTTTTTCCTCCTGTGCTTGGGGAAGACGTCATCTTAGAAAGCATTGTGCACACAGCACAGCTTTGAAATCTGCTGAAGTAGCATTTGAGGAGTAGCCTGCCCCAGTTTCCCCTGTCCCTGGGATGCGCACAGGTCGGGTGATTTTCTTTCGGCAGGTCACTGTTTTTCCCCGTATTTAACACGAGCTTTGTTGCTTGCACTCCCATGAGGGTGAGTGGGAGGTTTCGCAGAGCTGCAGCTCGGCCTGCGGCTGGCAGCCTTGTGGGTGCTGTCCCGGTCTTGGAGGGGTGAGAATGCCGAGTACAGAGGCTGTGCCATTCCGGGTGTGTGGTCCTGCGACTTCCGCTCCTTCGCCCCAGTGGGGCTGCTCCACCAGTGGGAAGGACTGAGCTCTGCGCCAACCTCTGTCGTAAATATAACAAGGTCGTTTGTTTATATTTATTTTGTCTGTTCCATCTTAGTCAGTCAAAGCAGGTACTTCAGTTTTTCCAGGAGAAAAGCATCTGTTTCTAAAGTAAGACTAAACAAAGCATGTGTTGGAACTGGGTCTGTATGATTAAATTTATTTTCTCAGACTCCTCCCCCAGGAATTAACAATTTATTCAGCCAGTGTTTGCCAAATTCCTTCTACTTTCCTGGCCCTTTGCCAGAAACCGGGACACAAAGTTTCTGTCCTGGTGAAACATGAGGAAACTACATCAGGAGTTGATAAGTAGTTTGAAGAGAAATGCAGTACATTGTAAAGAGTGAGGGTTCCTGGAGAGAGGTTAGCATGCCATAATGGCTGTTTTTCTGTATCCACTCTCCCCGCCCCTGTGCTAAAAACTGGAACCCTTGCTGGACATGGTGATGCATGCCTATAATCCACCTTGGCAGGAGGGTCATCCTGAGTTCAAGGCCAGCCTGGGCTACATAGTGAGACCCTGTTTGAAAAACCCCAGTGAAAGGAACCCTCAGCTTGCTGTGGCCTTGCAGGTCCTGGTCGGTAGCAAATGTTCAGTCCATTAATTACCTGGAAGTAAGCGGGGGTGGGGTGGGGGGCGCTTTTTTGTTTTTGTTTTTTTAATACCAGGAATCGAACTCAGGGCCTTGCACTTGCCAGGCAGGTGAGATGCCACTGAGCTACATCTCCAGCCCTCAAAAGATCTTTTAAAGGTATTCTTTTTTTAATTAGATAGCATCGGTGACTACCTTCTGAACCTGTCTCGCCAGCACAAGGTCCTAAGTTCATCCCCGCCTGGTACCAAAAGAAAAATACTGAGCCAGATGGGGCACACATCTGTGATCGTATTTGGGAGGCTGAGGCAGGAGGATTGTTGTGAGTTCGAGGCCAGCCTGGACTACAGAGCAAGACCCTGTCTCAAAAAAAAGTCGTTAATCCATTAGCCAGGTGTGGTGGTACACACCTGTAATCCCAGCCCACCAGGAGCCTGAGGCAGGAGGACGGCAAGTTCAAGCCCAGCGTGTACAATTTAGGAAGATCCAGTCCCAAGAAAGATAAATAGCAAGACCGGGTGGATGGACTTGGGATGTGGTTTGGAGCAACAGCCTTGGGTTGAGTCCTTAGTATTGCTCCCCGCATTGCCCAGTTGACTACGCTTTGAAAAGTGGTCCATGGTGAATATAGTACAAGGGCTGACTGTCTGGTCCCTGCCTGGCATCCCTGATCGTCTCCTGTGGCGCTGTGGGGATGGGACAGCTGACATAAGGTTGGCATCCCAGAGCTTCCCCACACGCCCGTGCATGTCAGGAGTGCCGGTTGGTGTCCGTGCTGTGGTCTGACAGAGTCTGATACTGAGGCCACTTGTTGAAAGCCACCACGGATCGCTCTGGTGTTCCCTTGTAAATTAGGATTTCGGCGACCCTGTCCTCGCTTCCAGGGCGGCGCTGACGTTCAGTGGCACTGAATACAGCCCAGGTTTTTAAGTGTTTTATAATTGTGTGTAAATCCAGGCCTTAAAAATGGTCACAGAGGGTCGGGGATTTCTCATGGTTGCTGATGCCTGCCTCGCAAGTGCAAGGTCCCGAGTTCAATCCCCGGTACAAAAGAAAAAATGTTCATAGAGCAGTCCCCTCAGATGACTTCAAAGTCTTCCCACTCCCGCCCTCTTCAGAGAGTTCACCTCGTGGTTGCCTGGCCCTGTCACTTTGGGCCTGGGGGAGCCCAGAGACAAAGAATGGGTCGAGAAGGGGCCAAGGTCCCCGAGTCCGCTCCAAGGGCAGAACTCCCATGGCCTAACTTTGTCCTGCTAGTCTCCACCCCTGCTTCATGGCTGGGGACCAAGCCGGACCTCGCACTGGGAAGCCCAGAGGCAGAGGCAGTCTTTCTGGAAGTTTCTCCCAGCTGCTGCCCAGGCCACCAAGGCTGTGTGCAGCTTCTCCCGTCTCCCCTCTGTTGCCTTGCGTCCTAGGCTGGGCCTTGGGCCTGAGGCTCACCGTGCTGCCTTCTCTCTCCTAGCACACGCTCACAGGCCACAGTGGGAAAGTGCTGTCGGCTAAGTTCCTGCTAGACAACGCACGGATCGTCTCGGGAAGCCACGACCGGACCCTCAAACTCTGGGATCTGCGCAGCAAAGTCTGTGAGGAAACTGGCCTCTCTGTGCGCGCCTAGGCCTCTGCAGGGGTGGTGTGGTTTCCGCTTGACACTCAGAGGGCCAAGCGGTGACTGTTGTTTGAGGTTTCCTCTAGCGATCAAGTACTGGAGTGGTGGACGTAGCTATGCGTGTGGCTCCCCCGTGATTGCTGATTTTCTTTCAGGCATAAAGACAGTGTTTGCGGGATCCAGTTGCAATGATATTGTCTGCACAGAGCAGTGTGTGATGAGCGGGCATTTTGACAAGAAAATCCGCTTCTGGGACATCCGGTACGGCACCGAGAGCTTGGTGTGGGGAGCAGATAGGAGTCTGTATGGTGGTAAAATCTCAGGAGGTGGTGGAAATGAACTCGAGGACACTGTGGCTCAGCAGTGTGACCACCACAGAGCAAGAGACCCAGTCCGGCAGTCAGTCACTGCACGTATGCTGCAGGTCGGACCCCTTGCCGGCCCTCGGGCAACATGAGCTGGCGAAGGGCGGACAGGCACCCTCGGGAGTTGACGGCTGTGGAGAAGCGAGTGCATCTCGCACTGCAGGAAGGCCGGAGACGTTCCCAGCAGAGCAGCAGAAGGGCTGACATGTGGCACATTGGGAGACTGATGGAGTGCCTTGGGCTCAGGTGTCAGCGGGCCTCATGAGCCCTTTCCAGATGTCGTAATCCTTGAGCTGTTGGTTGTTGAGAAGGAAATGATTGCTTCACGGAGTCTGGTGGATTACTTGGGTGGCACTTTTAGAAGGCGTATTGGAGGGGTGGGGATGTAGCTCAGCAGTACAGAGTCTGCCTAGCAAGCGTGAGGTCCTGAGTTTGATTCCTAGTACCAAAAAAAAAAAGGAAGTACTGAAGCCAGGCCTCTTGGTGCATACCTGTAATTCCAGTTCTCAGGAGGCCGAGGCGGGCAGATTGCTGTGAATTCAAGACCAGCCTGACGCTCTCTCAAAACAAAGATGTACTGGGATTCGGGGAAGTCAGTTGGTGAGGACCTGAATTCAGGCTGGTAGACAAGAGCATCCGGAGGTGCAGTGTGAGCAAGGGCAGCAGTAAGGACAACATTCAGGGAATGGAGAGGACTCCGGAAATGGGCAGGAAGCTGGGAGAGTCCGCTCCTGGGCCAGCTGAAGGGCGGCCGGTTGGTCAGGAGGGAGACACAGCTGCTTGGTGGGCTGATAGAGTAGAGGGAGCTGGGGCCACAGCAGCTGGCTGGCCCAGCGGGCGTGGAGCGTGGGGGCGAAGGCTGCGTGTCGGGATGATGCTTTGGGGTCCAGCGTGGAGCCAGAAAAGGCCGGTGGGACACCGGTGGCCCCTAGACACCCTTCAGGTTTTCATTGAAACCTTTGTGTGGCTTTTTTAAACGTGAAGTTTTTAGGGTTAAACTGGGCAAGACAGGTCTCACCCTGTAATTTGACAGCTCCAACCCTGGGCAGGAAGCCCAACTGGGCAGTGGCCCCAGGTAGCTCTTGATAATCTGAAGTTCTGGCTGGTGGTCAGTATTGTTCCCAAATGGGCTAGAACACTTAGCGGATTCACGCCTCAGCCAGTCACTCTGGGATCGGTTGACAGAAGACAGACGGAAGGCCTTTTCCTCTACCTAGATCAGAGAGTGTGGTCCGGGAGATGGAGCTGTTGGGGAAGATCACTGCCCTGGACTTGAACCCGGAGAGGACTGAGCTGCTGAGCTGCTCCCGTGATGACCTGCTGAAAGTCATCGATCTGCGGACCAGCACCGTGAGGCAGACCTTCAGGTAGCTGAGGCAGCAGGGGCTGGGCCGGGCTGGGCAACTCCTCCTGTGGGTCGCCTGCTGACAGCGCTGCTGTCTGTTTCAGTGCGCCTGGCTTCAAGTGTGGCTCAGACTGGACCAGAGTGGTCTTCAGGTCAGTAGCGACACCCCAGCCCCAGCACAGATGATTTTGGGTGCTGCGTGGGTGTCTCCCATGTCCAGGCCTCACCCAGAGACCGAGGAGGGGCTTGAAGTTCAGACTAGAGCTCGCCGTCTGTGCCTTGGCTCCTGGGCAGCCATCAGTCTCCTTTGCTCACCAGGTTGCTGGGGAGCTTTCAGGAAGGGGAAGACAGGAGCCCTGAGGTGGAACTGACGGGCTCTTTGGGGTTAGCCCATCCTCCTGAGTGTCCCCAGGCCTGGCCTGTGCTGGGAGGAGCAGCGGCTTCCCCCTGCTGTGAGCAGGCGCCGTCGCCACGGGGAGTCAGAGCTCTCGCTCCCTTGCTTTCTTCAGCCCCGACGGCAGTTATGTTGTAGCAGGCTCGGCGGAGGGCTCGCTGTATGTGTGGAGTGTGCTCACAGGGAAGGTGGAGAAGACGCTGTCGAAGCACCACAGGTGAGGCGGATGCTGCCAGTGAGGGCACTCCCGGCCCCTGTCCTAGCCAGGGTTGGGCCTCAGTGGGGCCCCGTGGGGTAGCAGCGGCTCATGACAGGGCAGTGACAGCAGGTGCCCGGGGAGTGAACCATGGTGACAGTGGGCAAAGGGTCAGCACTTCCTCTTCCCCTTCCCTCCAAGCTGCCCTCTTCCTCAGATCCCTGTCAGTAAATTAACTTGGTTTGCCTTCCACCTGAGGGCCAGCCCATGCCCATCTGCCAGTCACACGGACGTCCCCCTCAGGGTGCCCTTGTGAGCCCTTGTGCTGCCGGGGTGAGCTGGCCAAGGCCCGAGGCTTTCTTGGGCCTTCTTTTTCCCATAATGAGCCCTGCTGTGGGCATGCATGGCCAGACCCTAGGTACCCGGTCTAGTGTGTGGCTGGCTGAGGTCTCAGCCCGACTCCTGGAAACTTGATGCTCTTCCGGTCTCTCCTTGAAGCTCCTCTGTCAACGCGGTGGCGTGGGCCCCCTCTGGCCTGCACGTCGTTAGTGTGGACAAAGGCAGCAAAGCTGTGCTGTGGGCACAACCTTGACTCAGGAGAGACACCGGGACTCTACACTCCTGTCCTGGTGGTGACAACGAGCTCGCGCGTGTGGCATGGTGGCCTTCTGGCGGGGCTTCTGAGGATGCTGACGGATGGCCTGGGGTGTCCCCACTGAAGCAACCTGCCCTGCGGTCCCCTCCTCGCAAGGGCCCAGCTTCCTGCCCTGTCTGGCCGGGAAACACTACTAGCTCTGGTCTTCCATACCTCACTGGGGAGCGCGGGGCCTCCTCTCTGGTCGGCAACATCGGTTGTGGCCCTGACACACATCCCTGCCTTGGGGCCCTGGCTGCATGGTGGGAGCGCACACGGGGCCCCAGGGGGCCGCCAGCCTCTTGTGACTGTCTTGTTACTGCTGAAACGTCCCTAGGTCTCTCCGACTGGTCTTCAGAGCCTTTGCCCCTTCCCCAACACTTCATTTCTCAGTCAGGAGATGACCCAGTTTGTCTTAAGTTTTGAGATAGGACACACGCCAGCCCGTTCCAGTGAAGTGTGTTCCTGTGTCACTGCCGATGCCCGGCGCATGGGTGCACACCACATGCATGCTGGTGACAAGGAAATCAGGCCTCGAATGTACCACCCTGGGGCTGGCAGCGGTGACCCCGGCCACGCCGCTCTGCCAGGCTGGGTGCCGTGTCCAGGGCGGGCAACAGTTATCTTCACCATGTACCCGTGTATAGGATTTCAGTTTTGTGTCTGAGACGCAATGGTTTTTCATATGATTTGCACTTTATTTTCTGTCCACGCTTGTTCTCTGGACGGTTGGGGATGTGAGTGCTGGAATGGGCGCCCTTCCTCCTGTCTTCCTGGCCTTCATTTCTCCTCCACTGCCATCTAGAGCGCTCATGTCAGGAGGAGCTGAAATTCACAGGCCAGGACACATCTTTTATTTATTTATGTTGCCAAACAACTTGATTGTAAATAAAAAGATTCTGTTGTATACTTTTCAAATCGCTTATGTCTCTGTGGTTATTTCATTCTTTATTCTAAGAAGGGAAAGGAGATCTGGTCAGTTTCTCTGCCAGTAACAGTTAATACTTCCCTAATTCTTTTCTGTATTATTGGTCACATCACCCACCTCGGAGCTCATTGCCTGCTGTGAGCACCCACATTTCATGCCCTGTGTGGATCCTAGCACAGGACCAGAGACAGTGGGGCCGAATCTCCAGAACTTGGCCTGCGGGCACCTTGGTCACAGGCTTGGTGTGAGCTGCTGTCTCCTTTGGCCCCAAGCTGCCTCTGCTGGACAGCTCTGCAGATACCTAGCAGGCAGCTTGAGCTACATCCTGATGGCTCCCCCTACAGGGGACTCAGCCAGACATCAGCCTGGCCCAGTGCTGGTGTCAAGGTTCCCATGCCTGATTCCGGGTACAAAAAAATGCTGAGTGAGCTGCTACAGACCTGTGGGTATCTCAAAGTTTGAGGATGAAAAGAAAACACCTTTCTTTTCCCTAGGCCATTTCCCAAAACATTATGCTAACCTGAGTTCAAGGTCTAGTCCTGAAAGCGACCACTGCCCTCTGTCACGTGTCACAAAGCTCCTCTTGCATCTTGCACAGTAGGCGGCAGGGAATTTTATGTGGGCCCTGGAGTGATGATAGAGACCCCGCCCCCGGGACTGCTGTGGAGTGCCTGACTTCACAGCTGTGAGCACAGCTTCCTGTGGCAGGACATTCAGAGTGCAGCTTGCTGAGGGCAGCAGAAGAGCAGCAGGACGAGGTGCCAGCTCCTGTGGAGCACACTTGCTTTAACACAGACCGCAGACATTGCTGGAGGTGCCGTGTCGTGAACAGTAATGATCGGAGTTACATCCCAAGTTGTAAAAAGGGGAAAGTCTCACAGAGGAGCAAGAGGAACCCACTGGGTCCTGAGTCCCCGATGGGCACTGTCCTGCGCTGAGTCCTCAGCTCCTGCCACCATGGGCCCTTGCAGGGACCCCCAGCACGATGCCCCCCTGGAAGGCCAGGTCACCTGGCCATGAGTACGCTGCCTTCTGTGTCCCACGGAGATAAGGCCCATGCATGTTAGAAATCACAAATTCACTCAGTAAACTGAGTTTTAGGTAAAGTGGAATAAACCTGCAACTGCAGAGTTTAGGTAGAAGTGCCCGGGACAGGGAATGCGTGTACCCCCCCACCAGCCTGGGAGCCCTGGTATTCACTGCAGGTCTCTGCTGCTTTCTGTCTTTGCCTCTGGCTCTTCCTGGTCTGTTTGTTCCAGAAGCTTCTCCCGTTCTCTGCTTTGATAGCACCTGTCCCTCAGACCTGTCCAAGGGCTACGCTGACCTCGTAATTCACGGTTCACTGGCAGGCGCGGTGAGACCCTCCAGAAGAGGACAGATAAACAGTTCCGCAGCGAGCCCCCAGGTACCCACCCCCCGACCGTGACCAGGGTTGCTCACTCTCAGGCATGTCCCCAGAATATCTTCGAGCCAACTTGTCATTTTTCCTGTAAGTCTCCACACACCCCAAGCTGAGAGGGACACCAGCTGCAATCAACACCTGCTAGAATCTGCAGTGACTCACTAGCAAACACTGTCCAATCCATTTTCAGAATCTGCTACTGTAATGGTAAGTTTTTCACAATTGGTTGAGTTTGGATCCAGTTAGCTTTTGCTGCTTTAACAAACTACCTAAAGATGCAAAGGTTAAAAAAAATGTATTTCTAAGCCGGGCAGGATGGCGCACACCTGTAATTCCAGCACTCGGGAGGCTGAGGCAGGAGGATCGCTGTGAGTTCGAGACCAGCTTGGGCTACATAGTAGGTTCCAGGTCAGTCTCAGCTACATAGTGAGACCCTGTCTCAAAAAACCAAAAAAAAAAAAAAAAAAAAAAAAACACCAAACGTATTTCTTCTGAGTTACTGGCCAGGTTAAGGATAGGAGGGTAGCTAGGCATGGTGCCACTCAGAAGCCAAGGCAGGAGGCTAGAAGTTCTAGGCCAGCCTGGGCTACAGAGAGAGTTCCAGGCCAACCTGAACTGCACAGTGAAACCGTGTCTCAAAAAAACTAAATAAATTTAAGAATAGTAAATGTTTTGTAGAAATTTTGCTCTGTATTGAATCATAATGTTGAAAGTATATTTCTTTTAATTTATTGAGTTGGGATTCACGTAATCATTTTTAAAATGAACAATTCAGGGCTGGTGATGTAGCTCAGTGGCACCACACCTGCCTGGTAAGGACAAAGTCATGAGTTCCGGTACTGGAAAAAAAAAAAAAGAAAAATAAATGAACAATTCAGTGGCATTTTGTTTATTCACAGTGTTGTATGACCTCTATCTCTAATTCCAACTAAAAAAAGAAATAGGATTTCTCAAGCTCTTTTGATCTGTGAGCAGTGGATCTATCTAAAGAAAAGTGGGGGCTCGCTCCCCAGGAAAAGGTGCATCTGCATAGTTTTGTGTAGGTCCCTCGAGGCTCTCAGCTCCCGAAGCCCATCACAGGCAGGGCAGGGGCCCTGGATCTGTGGTTGGTCTCACATTGCTCTGCTGGGGCTCGGTGGATAAAGAGACACCAGGCAGAGGTCGGTACCCCCTACCCTGGGTCAAGAGGAAGTCTTGGTCTGGACCCTTCTGCTCTGCCCCACGAAGAACTTCACCCTTTTCAACTTTCACCCTTTTCTGCACACTGCCAGGATCTTCCCACCTGTAAAGGCAAGGAGGCTATGGGGCCAAGGAAACAGCAGGGAGGCCGAGCTGGTCTCCAGTCACAGTGGACACGGAGCCCGGAGCACCGAGCGCCCTTCTCAGCATGATGCCTCAAGACAGGAGTTGTCTGTCTGGGCTGGACCTCGATCAAGGGGGATTCATTTGTGGCAGAAGTGTTGGACTCACTTGGAACTGTGGAGAGAAGACACAGGAAAGCCAGTTCTGTCCAACAGGATTTCCCTGCACTGTTTCAAGGAAGGTGGGCATACAAGTTATTCCCCTCCCTGGAAGCATTCAGCAGCCTGATGGGCCGTAGTAGAGGAGATCTAAATAAGATCTGGAGAGCTAGCCCAAGAGAGCCCTCTGTTCTTTTTTTTTTTTTTGTACTGGGGGTCTAACTTGAGACTTTGTGCTTGTGAGGCAGGCGGTGGAACCACTGAGCTAAATCCCCGGCCTTTGCCCTCTGTTCTAAAAATGACGCTTGGGCTGAAAGATACAAATTGAAGCCGGGCAAGGTGGTGCACGCCTGTAATCCCAGCACTCGGGAGGCTGAGGCAGTAGGATCCCTGTGAGTTTGAGACCAGCCTGGGCTACATAGTGAGTTCCAGGTCAGCCTCAACTACATAGTGAGACCCTGTCTCAAAAAACCAACAAAACAAAACAAAACTAAAAGATACAAATTGAAATGAAGGTGGTGGATGTTAAAAAGCAGACTGCCTGGCACTCCATGAATGCCGTTGTCTCAAACTTCCCAGTTCTCTGTGCAGTAAAACTAAAGCACCCAGGACCATTTTCATTCTGTGGAGCACCCTGTTTGGCAGAGTGCCCGTTTCCCTCATGTACATGTCCTAGTCAGCCCCGAGGATGGCAAGCTGACCTCAAAGCCGGGAGGCCTCTTATGAACATCCCTGCTGCACCACTGACTGCCACCCTGCAGCCACTGCTGAGATGAGGGGTCAGAGATAAGAAATGGACCTCATCTTGCTACAGGCGATTCCAGAGAAACAAGTGGCACCAGGGCCAGTGCTTTCCAGACTTTGGAAATTTGTAGAGCAGTAAACTTCATGAAGAAATCTAGGGGAGCCGGGCGTGGTGGCGCACACCTGTAATCCCAGCACTCGGGAGGCTGAGGCAGGAGGATCGCTGTGAGTTCGAGACCAGCCCGGGCTACATAGTGAGTTCCAGATCAGTCTCGACTACATAGTGAGACCCTGTCTCAAAATACAAACTCAAAAAACAACCTTCTGTGTTCAGGCATAACATCTGCCTTTCTATTCCAGTAATTTTCATCATACCATTTTCAGATTTCCCCAGTATCCCCAATGCCTTTGTCCCATTGAGTGTCCAGGCTGAGCCTACACCTGACATCTGAACACTGAATGCCCTATGTGTCTTAATCTAGCGCGTCCCCTTCGATGGCGTTGACTTGTGCAAGATACCAGTGGCTTTCTGGACCGGCCTGGCAGCCTTCATGTGGTGTTGTCCCTCTATTCTCTGTATTCCTGTAACTAGAAGTGTTCTATAAGGCTGCCAGGGGCACATCACATGTGTGTGGTGGCAAGTGTGCTCCCGCTGAGCTGTGTCCTCAGCCTGCCACCTCCCAGAGGGCCACCACCATTCCTGTTGCTAAGGTTGACCGCTGGGTCTGCAGTGAACCTCATGTAGGCTTCTCTCTGGTGCTGTTGGGGCAGCCAATCCCCCATCACCTCCACGTCTCACCGTCTAATAGTTTTAACACCAGAGAATAACCCTGTGTTTTAAAATGTCCCATTATTCAGGTACGGTAAGGCTAACAGGTCAAGAAATGATTGCCATCATGAAGGCAGTTTGTCACGGTTCCTTAGAGGAGGGACGTGGGAGCCACACAGAGCCACATGGGAAGCACTAGGGCTGGTGAGGGGGTGAGGGAGAAACGTGGCAAGCGCATTCTGGGGCTTTTGTGGGAAGGAACAGGCGAGGCAGGGTAGGCAGGCTCAGGTCGGCTAGGTGGGATGGTTCTGTGGCTCTAGAGTGTGGGAGGTCTCCACTACCTGGCCCTGCTGAGGTCAGGTCGGGACAATGGTGGCCTGGAACATGACAGCCTGATGAAGAAGGTTGGGGATGCACTGTGAAGACCAGCTCTTTGCTGTCTGGGAGTTGTCTAGCCCTAGGAGAGAAGGTCTCTCCAGCTCTGAGCCCTAATCAAAGATGAAGAACCTTCCGGCCACAGTGGGGCACACCTGTAATCGTAGGTATGTGGGAGGCGGAAACAGGAGGGTCACGTGGCCTAAATAGCCAGACCCTGTCTCAGGCCAGGGATTTAGCTCAGTGGTGCCGCACCTGAGTTCAATTCCAGGTACCAAAAAAAAAGACCCTGTCTCAGAAAAACGGAAAGTAGAGAGGGGAGAGAGGCAGCCAATGAGCCGGCACATGCTCTGAGAAATGTGCCCAGATTCTGAGGGGCAGGACATCCCACGGGGGGTGACCGATGGTGGCCGTGGAGTTTGTTCTGCTACACATGGAGAAGGACGTGGACGGCAGGATGGATGTCACAAGACAGGGAGAGCCCTTGGGGTCCAGAGAAGCCCGGGTGGCAATGTGGATCCATGAGGTGCCCCTGGGGCTGGGAAGACACAGGCAGAGACCCCAGCATAACTAGTGAACGACATGGCGGAGGAGGAGGGGACAGGACCCACCTGGCCCATATGACGCTGGGTTCGTCTGAGGCTGCCATGTCTCCTTGACCTTTCTGTGCACATAATGCTTGCTGAGTTTAATCAAGTTTGTCGTTGCAAATCCTGTCTTGATGATGCTGAGGAGCAGAGGGATAAGCAGTCTATTTCCAGAACCCAAAGAGGCTTAGGATAACAGTAGCTTTCATTGACTGTTGTTCCTTCCACGTCATCTTCCCCCGCAGGCGGGGATGGCCGGGCATCTGCTGCGCCCTCAGCTAATGCCCAGAACTGCTGAGACTGCTGTCCCCTGTCTCAGCTGTAATCCACTTTCCACTCTGCTCTGTAGATGGGATTTGGCCTCTAGACACAGAGACCTGGATGCATCCTCTCCAGATCCCCTACAAATTCCCCGCACGCCTCAGCCAGGGCCCTTGTGTGTGCCTGTGAGGGGTCATCAGTGACAAAAGCCGCTGGCCCAGAACAGGGCTGGTTGCTCATCTGTCGAGAGCACAGGGACCCTCTCCAGACTCTTCTGGCACCTTGCCCGGTGGGGGGCAATTTACAAGGTATGTGATGCCACAATCCAAGCCTTCTCAGAAACCCAGGGCTGGAGTTGGGGAGGCAAGGGTGGGCGCTGTCATGTAGGCAGCAGACTGTCCCAGTTCTGCCCCTGTCTATGCTTCCCAGGAGCACTTTGCTGGGAGCATTTAATTTGAGGTCACTAGGCTGCTCCTTAATTGTCCGTGAAGCTAAGTAGAGGGAACAGACATTGTTGGAAAAGAAAGCACTGCTTAGTAGGATCTGCGGGGTGCACCTTTGGAGGTTTTCGTGGGTTCATGAAAACTGCGAAGTGCTTGTTTTGTGGGCTTTAGGAAGTTTTGATTTATTTGCCATAAGACCTGGTCATAAGAGAATTTGTTTTCAGCCTAAGTGGATGACACCAAAGTTTAATCAGAGTAGCAAGAACTTCTTATTGGATTTCACTGGACTGCCTGGTGAGGTTTGCTAAGAGACGGTTGAGACTTAACAAGAAAACTACTTAAAAACTGCCCACCACCATGAAATACAAACAAAGCAAAGATCTTATTTTCTCACACGTGCATGTTGGCGCAGGTAGAAGGAACTGTCCTGTGGATGCACCGTAGCACTCAGGCAGGTTTACATCTGCAATGTTCTTAACTTTATGCTTAGGGTTGTTTCACCTCTTCCCAGCCCTTTGCGCCCTGACATATATATCGAGGTGGGAGAACTTGCCAGGGACAGATAATATGGCGGCCAGCACGAAGTCCAATAAGTCACACGTCATCTTCAAGAAGATCTCCCGGGACAAATCTGTAAGTGGTGCAGAAGCGAGCGGCTTGCTGCAAATTGTTGTAAAAATAATAATAAGTGGAGCCTTTCTGAGTATAGACAAGATCCATATCAAAACCCTGTGAGGGCCATGGATTTAGCCCAGCCATTTCACATCCTGCCTCATAAGCACAAGGTCCCACGTTCAATACCCGGTACCAAAAACAAAACAAAACAAGCCTGTGAGATGCTGGGAACCTCCTTGTCTGGTTTCTATCTCAATCTGTGGTGGAAGATCAACGAGACAGAAAAGAGTGAGCAGCAGAAATACAGCTGCTCCTCACCCCCTGCAGATTTGTGTGCTGTGGCCCTCAATTTTCTCCTAATCTCTCTGTCCCTATGACCTTGCCCCAATTTTACTTCTTTTCTTGGCCGTCCTTGAACCCATGACCTACCGTCTCAGGTCCTGTTTTGTCAATTGGTGACCTCCCCGGTCCTCTGTCCTATGGCCCATACCTGGGGAAAGCCCGGATGTTGATTGGATGTGGCGCTTTCCTTTCTCTGTGTCTACCCCAGCACCATGCGTCGCCCCTTGGCTACTCATCCTCAGGACCACTGGATAAGGGAACAGGGCCAGTTTGCTCCTATCCCACCGCTCCACACTGTGGTTTACAGCTACCACGAACCTTTCAAAGACTCTCTGTCGGACATTCACATCTGCTGATGCAGTGAACATACCAGAATCACAGCTGATTTACTGAGTGCTTGCGGTGCAATGTGCCAGCATCATTAAATGAGATGCAAATTCCACTGTGAATATTAGAATCTTCATTAGGATTTAGAATTAGAAAACGCCCAGCTTCAAGGATTCTGACTTGCATGGGCTAAGTAGTCTCAGTTCCAGAAGTTCAGAAACCTCCTTTCTGGGGCCAGGGATTTAGCTCAGTGGTTCCACTGCCTGCCTCGCAAGCACAGGGTCCCGAGTTCGATCTTTGGTACAAAAAAACCCAAAAACCTTTCTTATCTCAGGAATGTTCATCATTTTTGTCAACTTCTGATCTCTCTAGTTCCAGTCAAAAACCAGAAACTTTGCTGGGCGTGGTGGCACACGCCTGTAATCCTAGCACTCGGGAGGCTGAGGCAGGAGGAGGATCGCTGTGAGTTCAAAACCAATCTGAACTACATAGTGAGACCCTGTCTCAACAGCATAAAAAAGGAGAGGGTAATCCAGGAACTTTAAGAGGATCAAGCTAAACCACCTCGTCTAATAAGCTCTTTAAACCGTGTATGGTGGCTCACACCTGTAGTCCCAGCACTCGGGAGGCTGAGACAGGAGGATCGTTGTGAGTTCGAGACCAGCCTGAGCTACATAGTGAGTTCCAGGTCAGTCTCAACTACATAGTGAGACCCTGTCTCAAAAAAAACAAAAAAAAGCTCTTTAATTCTTCCTGGAGTTCCTACACCCAGTTCCTACATGCTTCTCCAACAACTTTAGCTGCTCCTGGACCTTTTATGTGCTTTGCAAGCCATTTCCTGCCTTTGCTGTCTCCTCCGAATACTGTCTGCCACGCGATGAGCCCTAGTGCTTGGACAGCGGAGCTACAGATGATCAGCATCAGAGCTGATTTCTTCTCACTGTGGTTCTTTCAGAGTTTTACCCACTTAGGACAAATTGGTTTTAGGTATGATGAAAAATGGAGTTAAATCATTGGCCTTGAGGAAACAGGAGTCTGATAGATTGAGTTCTTCTAATTTAATCACTAAGCAATTGCTGCTACAACAGTCATTGATCAGCCTCTGTAGATCTTTCGGTGTCCCTGGTTTGGCCTCTGATTTTGTAAGAACATCAGTAATTTTCTTCTTTTCCCTCTTCCTGCTCTTCTTTTGCTTCTTTTGGTTTTATCAGGAGACATTCTTTAGGGGCTGGGATGTAGGTCAGTGGCACTGAGCCTGTCTGGCAAGCCCAAGGTCCTGAGCTTGGCTCCAAGTACCAGGAAAAAAAAAGAAAGTAAAGAAAGAAAGAAACATTCTTTGGGTGTTTTTGGTGAGGCAAGAACTTCAGCTTTCTCCTGCTGTATGCTTTCTGTTTCTCCTCCTTTACCATCTGACGATTCTGGGCTGCTGGCTGATCCTGCTGGCTCTTCTCCCTCCACTCGTCTCTGAGAGTCGACACCAGTGGCCCGCTGGACGGCTTATGGGTGCCGACGAGCGTCATGGCATGGCAGAGCTCACCGAGGGGCTGGACACCCCTCCTTATTAAAAAGGCAGGAAGACACATGGGGAATGCCTTTGAATACTATCTTTTATTTAACCCAGTATATTTTTAAAAAACGTCATTTCAACCTGTAAACCACATAAAAATTCATAGCACTGCTTGCTTCTTTTGCTGAGTGGTTGGAATGCGTGGTGTGCTTACCTTCAGGGTGTGTCCCTTTGGACGGCCAGCAGTGCCGGTCTGGTGGCCACTGCGTGAGCAGTGTGGCTCCCTAAGCTGCTGGCTGAGCCCATGCTCGGCCCAGCAGGAGCTCTCTGGTCTCTCTGTGCCACGCAAGAGAATGGCCTTGGCACACGGCTTCTACCTGCCCTCTCGTCTTTTGCTGGGCAACATCCTCGTTGTCATCAAAGGCTCTGATTCTTTGGGGTGATAGTTTGGGTGCCTCCCGTCCATTCTGCAATCTCCTTACCTACTTGTGTCGCTCCTGCACACATTTTCTCTCAACTTCGGGCAGAAAAGGAGTGCTACTTTTCCTTCATTCTCTCTCTTCTACCAGTCCCCACACCCAAACCTCGAAAGGCACCCTTTTTTGAATGTTTTATTTTTTTCTGTTTTTTGAGAAAGGATCTCACTATGTTAGCTATGTATAGGCTGTTTTGAACTCACTCCGTAGCCCAGGCTGGCCTACAATTTGTGATGATCCTCCTGCCTCAGCCTCCCAAATGCTGGGATTACAGGAGTGCACCACCATGCCCACTTTAAATATCCTTTAAAAAAAATCATATAGTTTTTTTTTTTTCCTATATTGATCCCCATGAGGGGGATTCATCAATCAATGTCTCATGTATTAGGACCGATTCGGCTGCACACGCTGTGTGCTCTGAGCACGGTGTGCCAGGTTCTACAGCCCTTTCCCTGTGATCCTCTCCACCCTGCTGTCTTCTGCGATGCCACCCACACTTGATGGCATCCCGGGGGTGTGGCCTCCTGGGGCCTCTGTGAAGCCTTGGGCAATCTTTCCCAGAAGCCCCAGCCCACTTCTGTCTTCTCTTCATTGGTTGATACCAGGTAACCGCCTACCCTAAACCAGTCAGGAATCAGGAATCTGCCATGGCTGGCCTCCCCCTAGCACACTGCCCACTGGAGGGCATGGGTCTTGCACACAACTGGCAGAGCCAGTGAATGGCTGTGGGCTGGGCACCCTGCTGTGGTTTCTCATCACCTGATTCCTCCTTCACCTGCCCTCACACTTTCTTCTTTCTAGCGCCACAAGGAGTGCTCTGCTCCCATGTGAGGTCACTGTTACTTCCTGGGTCTTGCGGCCTGCCACCTTCTTGGGGGCCCCTCACAGCCAAAGCTTCAAAGAGATGGAAACACTCCCTTCCTTGCCTCCCTTCTTCCTTCCTACCTACCCTCCAACCCTCCCTCCTCCCAACCACAAAAAGGCTGCCTACCTGGCTTCCTCTTGGTAATCCAGCCTCCACTTTACTGCTAATGTGTTCTAAGTCTAGGATGCTCTATAAAATAGGGTTAATTCTTGTCTCACACAGCTGGGGTGAGGGAATGAAATAGTGTTGTCAAAGCCCATGTGCTCCTGAGGCAACCAAAGGCCAGAGAGTGCCAAGGCAAGGACATGAAGGCTGAGGTGTGCATGGAAGTGTGAACAGGGTGTCCCCAGGTGGAGATGTGACTGAAGGGCCTTGTCTGCTGCAGAAGCAAGAGGAGCAGAGGCTGCTGTGGCCAGGGCCCCAGGTAGGGCTGGGGCAGTGGGGAGGGAGCTCTGGGGTGGCCTCGAGCCAGGGTTAAGGGCTGCCTGGCCTCAGGCAGGGCACTGGATGTCAGTCCACAGGGGTGAACAGCCACCCTACCCACGACCCCGTCAGCAGGCAGCAGGGTTGTCAGGGTCCCCACAAGGACGAGGATAGAGTGTTCGCTGAGGCATGGGCAGGTGTGGAGGAGGCTCCAGAGAAAGCGCTCCAGATGGCACAGCAGGGTTGGCAGCAGCTGGATGCTGGTACCTCCTTGGGCTCTAGGGATGAGGGGTCAAGCAGGACAAGCATCCAGGCTGGCACACAGGGGCCAGATGCCTGCTTCCCTCCTTCTCGAGTCTGGCCCTTCTGAAGCCGGAAGGCCCAGGAGCCCCAGGGGTGACTCAGCTGGCTCTGTCCCTGGGAGCTTCACATCAGTGTCCCGTGTCCCTGATGTGGGCTCCTAGCAGCTGGGCTATTGAGGCCTGCGGAGGGCTACGCAATGGATTTGCAAGGTTCCTGCAGAATCTTTTCCATGACTCAGGGACCTACAGGCATTTGCTGCAAGTCAGTTTCAGCACCAGTCACACCAATAACCTAGAAGCCACAAGGACCCTCTGCTATGCCATGGAGGACAGTATAGGACAAGATTTAATGCCAGCACCAGTGATCTGGAGCATTCGAGGAAATAAAAGTGTGCACTGGTGAAATCTGGGGAGAAGGGACAGCTAGGGTGCGTGTGCCTGTTCTTCGGTGCCTGTAGGGAGCACAGCTGAGTCCTTTGCTCGCCGGCGCTGTGGTAGATCCTGTGAGAAGTGGAGATGACCTTAACCCCTGCCCAGGCTTGCTCTCCTGCGGGGCAGGTGGGCAAAGAGACCTGTGCTGCCCGGGGCGTAGGCCCTGTAGAATGGGGCAAGACCACAACTGCTTCCTCCTTCTCGTCCATCCCGCAGCTCCTGGGCTCCAGACTCATACCTTTTTGCTCAGTCCAGGAATTCTTAGAACAAGGCCAGGGGGTTTTGGGTCTGTAGCAGAAAGAAGAGGCTTATCATGCTGGTTATGGTGGCATCCAGTTGAATCCCAGCACTCTGAGAGGCTGAGGCAGGAGGATCACAAGTTCAAGTCCTTCCTGGTCAACTTAGCAACTTAGTGAAACCCTGTCAAGTAAAACAAAAAAGGGCCAGTGATATAGCTCAGTGCAAAGGCCTTGGGTTCAAGCCCCAGTATCCTCCCAAAGATTTGTCAGTTTGGTTATTTATTTAGTTTTTGAAAATGGGTCTTACTATGTAGTTCAGTTCAGGCCAGCCTTGAACTCACTATGTAGCCTAGGCTGGCCTCAAATGTGAGGTGATCCTCATGCCTCAGTCTCCCCAGTCCTGGGATTACTGGCATGTACCACCACTCCTGGCTTGGTAGTTGTTACTTTTTAACATGAATACTTTAGCTTAGTGTTCTTTGGCAATTTAAAATTCAGCCCTGTTCTTCCCATAGGTGACCATCTACCTGGGGAAGAGAGACTATATCGACCACATCAGCAAGGTAGAGCCAGTGGGTAAGTGGAGTTTGGAGTAAAATTTTATTTATGGTGTTTTGTTTTGAGACAGGGTCTCGCTTTTAGTTTAGGCTGGCCTTGAACTCACTGTGTAGCCCAGGCTAACCTTGAACTTGCTGCAAATCTCTGAATCTCTCCATGAGCCTCCTGGGATGACAGGCATGCACCGCCATGCTGGGCCTGGAGTAAAATTTTAATGCTGGTTTTCCTTTATATCAGATAACCGCTTGTTTTCTGTTTTTGTTTTTGTTTTAAATCAGCCTCAAAAGTACAAGGTCTTGGGCTGGGGATTTAGATCAGTGGTTCCACTGCCTGACTCATAAGTGCAAGGTCCTGAGTTCGATCCCCAGTACCAAAACCAAAACAAAAAATCAGCCTCACTAGAAACCTAATTAAAGAAATGCAAATTAAAGCATCAGTGAGGCGCCACTGGCTTACTGGAAATAAATTTAAAGAGAATGAGGAGACAAAAGATTCATGTTTAATGGGTCCAGGGATTTAGCTCAGTGGTGCTGCCACTTGCCTCGAAAGCATAAGGTCCTGAGTTCGATCCCCGGTACCAAAAAAATAAAAGAATATATGACAGATTCTCAGGACCCAATAGCAAACAAAAAAGCAAAAGAGAGGAAGAGAAATTTCCTCAAAACAGACACATAGAAGGACAGGGGATTTGGCTCAGTGGTTCTGGTGCCAGCTTCGCAAGTGCAAGGGCCTTAGTTCCATTGCCGGTACCAAAAAAAAACCAAAACAAACAAACAAAAAATAATAAATAAATAAATAAATAAATAAGCACATAGAGGACAAATAATCAATGAACAAAAATGTTCCCCATGCCTGGCCAAGAAAAAAAAATTTTTAGAGAGTGGGGATGTAGCTCAGGGGTACAGCAGTTGCCTGGCATTCGTGGGTTCAAATCCTCCATACCATACCACAAAAGAGAAAGAAAAAAGCATGCTGTGTTTATTTCTAAGAAGGCATACAGGGCCTTTAATGTTGCCCTCACTCTTCTCTCCCTCCTCTGGCATAGATGGTGTTGTTCTCGTGGATCCGGAGCTTGTGAAGGGAAAGAAAGGTGAGTCAGTTCCCACCCCTCACCTTGGTTCTGAGCCCGGGTCGCTGAGCCCTGAGATGTCCGGTGCCGGTGCGGCAGCTCATTCGTGACTAGTGACAGCTGCATGCGGTGAATCGGAACAGACTCAGGGTACACTTATGATCACATGGCTGGCTCGGTGCCTTTCCACACCCAAAACACTCCCCGCCTAGTGACCCAGTTCCATTCCTGAGACTTGAATGGGTCACTAAATGACGAATTGTGTGTGGTACATGCATTAGAAAATAGAGATAGCCGGGGATTTAGCTCAGTGGTTCCACCGCCTGCCTTGTAAGCACAAGGTCCCGACTTCGATCCCTGGTGCCAAAAAAAATTAATAAAAAAACATAAAGTTAGTTATAGCCGGGTGTAATGGCTCATGCCTGTAATCCCAGCACTCGGGAGGCTGAGGCAAGAGGATCCCTGTGAGTTCGAGACCAGTCTGGGCTACACAGTGAGTTCCAGGTCAGTCTCAACTACATAGTGAGACCCTGTCTCAAAAAAAAAAGAACAAAGAGATGGTCGAAGGAAAGTCTAGCTTGAAGACTTCACTCTCATTTGCAGGCCTGATAACACGCAGTAGGGTAGTGTGTTAGAACACAGAGCTGCAGCACTGTGCTGTACAGGGCTATCAGCAAAAATTACAGTGCAGTGTGAACAAGGGGTACTGTTTAAAAAAAAAAAAAGAAGAGGCTCCATAAACAAGATGAACAGAACAGTACAAAAAAAGGTGGGTTGGAAATCAGAGCTGTGGTTAAGTGAGTGGGTTGTTACACAAGGGACATCTGTCTGCCTCTGTGCTGCACCTGCCAGCAACCATGAGGAACGGCTCTGACCTGGACGCGCCCTAGGATGAGTCGGCTGTGGGGCATGGCAGAAGCGGGTGGAGGGCTGCCTCCTGGCCGCCCTGTTTCCCTGGTGTGAGCCCTGCCATGCCGTACCCTCGGCCGCAGAGGGCACCTGGCATCAGGGAAAACCCCTGATGCCCGTGAACCCAGGCGTACAACCAGGTTCTGCCTGGGTGCTGAGCTCGCGAGCTGACCCCATAGGTGAGCAGCCCATGCCCGTCTGAGTCGGTGGTGAGGGGCAGCTGCCCTCAGGGCTGACATGGGCAGCGTCCTCCAGTGCCAGCTCCCTCCCAGGACCTGGGGCTGGCACTAATGTGCCGTGCACTTCCTACGTACGCTTTGTGTTTCTATCCCAAAGTACGTTGTGGACTCGCACACAGGTCTCGTGGTCTACTGGGTCTGTAGTCACGTGGCATTTTCACAGGTGGTGACTTAGTGTTTAGTCAATTTCAGAATATGCGCGAAGGAGGTGGAGTTTGATTTCATCTCCCCACTCCCCCGACGGCTTTTCCCTCAGCTGTCTGGTTCCAGTACACATCTGTACATCGGTTCCTTCCCATTTTTCTTCAAGCACTGTTATTAGTATTATTATTATTTGGGACAGGGTCTCTTTATGTAGTGTAGGCTGGTCTTGAATTCACTGTGTAGTCCAGACCTCAAATTCTCGGACATCCTCCTGCTTCAGCCTCCTGAGTGCTGGGATTACAGGTGTGCACCAGCACACCTGGAGCTCCTGTCTCCACTTTCACCCTTTAACTTCATCCAAACATCCTTCCCCTGAAACCAAGGGAGGGAGGCGTGGAACAGAGGGAAGAGGGGGCTGTGGGCAGCACAGTGTTCTCTGTCCATGCGGTCCTACCATCCTGGCAAAATAAAGCAGCTGCAAGAGAAACACCTCCCAACCCTGTGACATGTCTCATTAGGGTAATGAGGCGTAACCCTTATGATTCCCCAAAATGTGTGGGCTACATATGTGGCATGTAAGAAAAGATTCATGTCTAAGTTAAAAAATTATTATAATAAAAGATACATCAGCGCGAAACCCCTCAGCTACTCCCTCTCGTTTCTAACACACTCATCCCCTCGTCCTTGCCACCTTCTGCAGCAGCTCTGAAGTCCTCTTTCATGAGTGTCTTTGGTTGCACTGTCATGGCTGCTCGAGGTCCTGAAACGATTCAGAACATTTGCAGCAGTGTCTGTGACGGCCGTGGTGTCTTCATCCACCCCGTTCACTGGGTCCGGTACGGCTTCTGGCTCTTCCCCCAAGACAAAAGGACTAGGAAAAATCTACATCTTGAATCAACTCAAGAAATCAAGGCCATAGGGGAGGGTGGAGGGGCTGAAGGGAGGGCAGGGCTATGGGGAAAAATGAGAATCAAGATCTGTCATGCCAAGGTTCAAGAGCCCAGTGATGAATGTAACTGTACTGTGTACTCAAAAAGTACCAATAAAATTTCTTTAAAAAGAAAGAAAGAAATCGAGGCAGCCACAACAGCACAACTAAAGACACTCACGAAAGAGCTGCTTCAGACAGTGCTAGACACGGGCTAAGTGTGTTCAAAGTCAGAAGGGACATTTTGAGGGGGATTCATGGCAATGTGTTTTTACTGAAATACAATTTAAAATCTTTTTAGTTGCAACAGTCACTGTTGTTTTGTTTTGTTTTGCTTTTGTACTGGGGATCGAACTGGGGACCTTCCGCTTGTGAGGCAGGCGGTGGAACCACTGAGCTAAATCCCCGGCCCCAGTCACTGTGTTTTAAAAAATCGCCCCTCATAATAACGGGCTCTCAGGTCCCACCCCATCCAGACTCGGGAGCCCTGACATCTGGGCGGCCCTGGCGTGCTCACCCCTGCTTGCTCATCCCAGGGACGGTGCTCCCCAGGCTGACCTGTCCCCCTCGTCTCCCCAGTGTTCGTCACTCTGACCTGCGCCTTCCGCTATGGCCAGGAAGACGTTGACGTGATCGGCCTGAGCTTCCGCCGGGACCTGTACTTCTCGCGGGTGCAGGTGTACCCACCTGTGGGGGCCGCCAGTGCGCCCACACGGCTGCAGGAGAGCCTGCTGAAGAAGCTGGGGGCCCACACGTACCCCTTTCTGCTCACGGTGAGCGGCCAGCCGGGCGGAGGGTGGGAGGGGAAGGACTCGGCGTCCGCGGGCCTGTAAATTGCGCCCTTGCAGGAAATTCTAGATGGCGTGCTCTGTGATTGTCTTTTTTTAAATCCTTGAAAATAGCCATCTGCCTTTGAAGGCATCATTTCAAGCTGCCGTTCAGATATTTCCCTCCTGCCACCACCTAATTAGATGAGCATGTGCTGCTGGGCAGCTATAAAAAGAAACCAGCAGAATTGCCCCTCGGTGGCCCGGGAGTTTGCGCGACAGAGATCCGGGTGGAAGGAGGAGTCACCCAGCCTGGCCCAAGGCTAGGTGGGTCACCACGGGTCCATCCCTTCTTGAGCCCTGCCTCTCACCTAGGAAACCCGGGTGTCCTGAATGCCAGCCCCAAGCCCTTGGGCAGCATGGAAGCGTGACGTCATAGGCACCGGATGCCATGGACACTGACGTCATGGGCAGCTGGCATCATGGATGTCTGCTCCACACGGGGAAGCGTCGTGAATTAGTTGTTTGTTTTTTGTTTTTTCTGAGACAGGGTCTCGCTATGTAGTGCAGGCTGACACTGAACTCATTAGGTACCCCAGCTCTGACCTCAAACTGGCATGATCCTCCTGCTTCAGCCTCCCAAATGCCAGGATTATAGGCATGGCCACTGTGCCAGGGAGATTGAGGTGTAGTGGCTGGAGCTTCTGTTTGAGACCATGAAAAACTTCTGGAGGTGGATGGTGGAGATCATTGCAGAGTATATTTAATAACAATAAACTGTATATTTAAGAGAGATGAAGTGGTAAATTTTATGATATTCTATTTTACAGTTGTTTTGTAAATTTAAAAAAAATGCTAACTTGCTCCCAAGCACTGCCATACACTTGTGCTGGTGGTTTAAAGTGACCATTTTGAGGGGGGTACCAGGGGTTGAACTTCGGTCCTTGCACTTGATGAGGCAGGTGACAGAACCACTGAGCTAAATCCCCATCCCTGATCATTTGTTGGTGACATCACATCAATATATATCAGCCAGGTGTGGTGGTGCACACCTGTAATCCCAGCACTCGGGAGGCTGAGGCAGGAGGATCGCTGTGAGTTCAAGACCAGCTTGGGCTACATAGTTCCAGGTCAGTCTCAACTACATAGTAAGACTCTGTCTCAAAAAACCAAAAAAAAAATTTAAAAAAAAAGTATCAGAACCTGAAAAAATGAAGAAGGGATATTTATTGCAGCATTGTTTGTAATGGCAAAGATGTGAAGACCATTGCAAGACCACCAAAGGAAAGGGGCCGGCTACTTTCCCTCTGTTTTGTCGAAGCCCTAACAGCAATGGCACAGAACTTTCATCATGTAAAAAAAAGCAGGAGCTGGGCGTGGTGGCACATGCTTATAGCCCCAGCACTTGGGAGGCTGAGGCAGAAGAACCACTGTGAGGTCAGGGCCAGTCTGGGCTACACAGTGAGTTCAAGGCCAGCCTGGACTACATAGCAAGACCCTGTCTCGAACAAAAAAAGACATAATCTTTCTAAATCAGGTTGGGTTAATGAAGTGAGTAAACCAGAGCAGAGGGCAGGTCCACTTGCATGTCTGTGACACACACACCAGTGTCACACTCATCTGCGTGTCTGTGTGTACACATACTCGTGGTGGTTAAGGCCCTTCTCATCTGGGTCTCTGGAGTGTAGGTGAATTACTTGTCTTCTTGTGTCTTATTCCTCTTGTTTTCCCGTTTCATGTGATGATTATATATTACATGCCCTGAGAGAAGTTGTTTTCTCTTTATTTCCTTCTGCAGTTCCCTGACTACCTGCCCTGCTCTGTGATGTTGCAGCCAGCTCCACAAGACTCAGGAAAGGTTAGTTCAAGAAGAAACACCATAGATTCATTCAATCTTCTAATGGATTATTTCTTTATTTGTTTTTGATATTTTTGTTTGTTTGTTTGTTTGTTGAGGCAGGGTCTCACTATGTAGTTGAGACTGACCTGGAACTCACTATGTAGCCCACGCTGGTCTCAAACTTACAGTGATCCTCCTGCCTCCCAAGTGCTGGGATTACAGGTGTGCGCCACCACACTGGGGATCAATGGTTTTTGGTTGTTTTGTTTTTTTTTTTTGTACGCAGGATCAAACTCAGCACCTTGCACTTCTGAGGCAGGCGGTGGAACCACTGAACTAAATCCCTGGCCCTCAAAGGACTTTTAAAAGTAGCTTCTTATCATGGAAAATGTGTTGTTTTCCTCCTGGGCTTCAGAGTCTCCATGAATCCCCTCAAAGAACCTGGAAGTTGGTGGCTTGTGTGTCACCATGGACGCTGGCCCTATGCCTTTGCGGTTGCACTGACCTGGGGTGGGGCGACAGTGCAGACCCAGCCAGGTGGAGGGTGTGTGTATGAGGGCCTGAAAATCACTCCTGGGCTGCAGCTGATGGCTGGTGCCTGATGAGCCTCCTCAACCTACACGTGCCATAAAGGTTTTTAAAATACTGAGGTTTTACTCCAAATTTCACTTCCGGTTTCTCATGTCAGGGGAGCTGTGGCCCCAGGGGCTGTTGCGCCCTGGCTGTGCTGGGCTTGAGGTCAGAGGTTCACAGCCTGGCACAGCCTTGCTGACCACCTGTGCCTGACACCTCTGTCTCTCTGTCCCAGGGCCCCAGGCCCCCACAGTAGGCAGTGGGATGTCGGGAGCAAAGCACTGTGATCCCAGCACTCCAGGAGGGTTGCTGCAGGGTCCAGGCCAGTCTGAACTTCACAGCAAGACCAGTCTCCAAAAACACAAGACAAAAACCCCTCAATCCCCATCCCCCTCAGGGCTCTTGGGGTGGTGGGGGAGCTGAGCACCGCCTGTTGCTCTCCTGTCTCCCACAGTGCTGTGGGGTGGACTTCGAGGTCAAAGCGTTCGCCACAGACAATGCTGATTGTGAAGAGGACAAAATCCCCAAGAAGTATGAGTGCAGGGGGGGCTTGGTGGGGGCCGGCATGTGGGCAGGCGACAGTCTCTCCGCAGAGCTGGGGCCGGGCGGTCACGCCTGCACATGCGTGGGGGCTGGTGGTTGCTCAGTGGATGTGTGTTTGGGGGGTGACAGCAGCTCCTAAGATCCCCTGTTCCCTTCTTTTGTCTCTCTTCTTTTCGGGGTGCTGGAATTGAATTCAGGGCCGTTGGGCTGAGCTACATCCTCTCCCACCCCCATTTTTTATTTTAAATTTTGAGAGCTTAGTCACTGCGTTGCCCAAGCTGGGCTCAAACTTAGGATTTTCCTGTCTCGGCCTCCCAGAGGGCTGGGATTCTGGGTGTGCACACCCATGCCTGGCTTCTCCTTTTTAGTTTTCTATTTTATTATTATACTTTTTATTTTTATCAGTACCTGCTTGCAGTACCTGATGATTACATTCGTTGTGCGGAGTTGATGCCTATATATGACACATCATCTTTTTACTTTTCCCGCTGAAGTTTACCATTTTAACCATTTTAACAGTGCAACTCAGTAGCATCAAGCACATTCACAGTGCAACCATCACCAATATCTATCCTCAATACTTTTCCATCACCCCATACAGATACGCAGTAGCCCCCTGCTCCCAGCAACACCCCATGTTCACTCTGTGTATGTGTGTGGTGTGGTTTTCGATTTTTGAGACAGGGCCATGCTACGTAGTCCAGGCTGAACTCATGGCATCCTCCTGCTTCAGCCTCCTGGCTCTCACTTTTCTTTTTTTGCCCAAACTAGATCCCCCCTTTCTGAACCCTCCACACCCTGGGCGGGTGCATCTCTTAGTGCTTCTGAGACAGCAGTCCCAGGGGTCACCTTTACACAGAGCTCTGCAGCCTGTCCCAAAAGGCACCTGGTACCACCCACGGCCTCACCAACAGGAGGCTGAGTGGGGGCCTGACAGGTTGAAAGAGACCCTTGGGGGAACCATACCCCAGCACTGCAGCCAGCCTTGGCACCAGGGAAGGGCCAGAATTTAGGTCCTCCAGGCTCCCACCACGGGGCCTGGAGCACCCAGCCTGACGTCTCCTGCAGGAGCTGCGTGCGGCTCCTGATCCGGAAGGTGCAGCATGCCCCGCCCGAGATGGGGCCACAGCCTTGCGCTGAGGCTGCCTGGCAGTTCTTCATGTCGGACAAGCCCCTGCAGCTCACGGTCTCCCTCAGCAAAGAGGTAGGAACATCACCAGCCTCGGCTGGGTGTCAGACAGTGGAAGCCAGTGTTTGTGAATGGCTGGCTTTGTCCCCAGGAGTACAGCTGATCACCCTGGGGCAGCGTGGCGGGCATGGCTGCCTTGGCCATCCTAGGCAGCTCTGTCTGTTGCTCACCAGCCTCCCCTCCAGCTGGCTTTGCCTTCTGTGTCCCCATGGGCCTTGTTCTCTAACACAGTGCCACTAGGTAGACTGCCCCAAATTGTTTACTTCTGGCTGGGCCCAGTGCCACTTGCCTGTGATCCCAGCTACAGTACTTGGGAGGCTGAGGCAGGAGGATCACAAGTTTGAGGCCAACCTAGGCAACTTAGCAAGAACCTTTCTCAAAAAATAAAAAGGAGGATTTAGCTCAGTGGTGCCACCACCTGCCTCACAAGTGCAAGGTCCCGAGTTCGATCCCTGGAACAAAAGTAATAATTTTTTTAAAAAGGACTGGGGATGTAGCTCAGTAGTAGAGACCTTGCCTGGCAGGTGTAAAGCCCTGGATTTCATTCCCAGTAGCAGGACCGCCCCCCCCAAAAAAACCCAATTATTTACTTTGGGAAATTTCAGTTGACCAGAAACTATGCAAGATGGCAGTTGTGTGTGATGTCACCAGTTAAAAGTGTCATTGTGGAGAAGGGAGAAGAGCCACTGGCCAAGGCTTTCTCTCCATCTGGTCAACATCAGGCATGCCCATGTGTTGGCAAGCGCCTCACATAGTGTGTTGTGTGCACACGCATGTGTATGGGCACACATACACCCCCTCTTGGGGCTGGATTACACAGGGTGGCTGCCAGGGAGAAGCCCGTCACCTCATCTTCCCAGTGGTTTCCTTGCCCCCCAAAACCTCAGGATTCTACTGAAAACATCCCAGGTTCCTCTTCTGTGGCACTCAGAACCCTGATATCCTTCTCAGCCTCTGCAGAAATGGCGGAACGTGTTCCAGGCCCTGCTCTGGGGGAAACAGTACTAGCATTTTTTTTTTTCCTTAGAAGAGGGGAATTCAGAGCTGGGGATTTAGCTCAGTGGTTCCGCCGCCTGCCTCACAAGTGCAAGGACCCGAGTTCAATCCCCGGTACTGGAAAAAAAAAATAGGGTAATTCAGCCACATTTCTTCAGTCAAAGGAATTCACGTGGCTCTAGAAAGCCCCGAGACTAAAGATGCAGGGACACTGTCTTCAGCTTTGCTGACATCTCTCTTTCAGATATTTTTCCATGGGGAACCCATCCCTGTCACTGTGACTGTGACCAATAACACGGAGAAGACAGTGAAGAAGATTAAAGTGTTAGGTAGGAACTTCTCAGAACTAGAGGGCAGCGTGCTCTACATGTCTCGGTCTGGTCTGTAAGGCCCTTCCAGGGTCTTGGAACAGTTTGCTCGCCTCTGTTGTCACAGGGAGCAGGACCTTAGCGGGAGGTTGACCTTAACAGATGCCTCAGCCAGGCGAGAGAGCACATGCCTATAACTCTAGCTACTTAGGAGGCCAAGGCAGGAGGATCACAAACTCGAGGTCAGCCTGGGCAATTTAGTGAACCACTGTCTCAGAAATAAAGAGAGGAGGTTAGGGGTGTGGCTCGATGGTAGAATGCTTGCCTGGCATGTGGGAAACCCTGGATTCCACCCCCGCACTGCAGGACTTGTCATCTCATTCACCCTGTGCCCATGCAGGGCTGTCTTTTGTCTTGCACCAACATCCCCCGTAAGATGATCTTCCCATCTCCCCATGGCTCTGCCTTCCCAGCAGGACTCAGCTGCCCCAGATGGTGCAGGAAGCCAAGGGAGGAGCTTTGCCTTGTGGATCCATTATTAATTTTTGTTGACAAAAGCAGCTAGTGTCCTGGGAAAGGCACTGCATGGGAAACACAGGGCTTAATCTGTGGGCTTGTGCTAAGCCCCGAACTCCAAGTGACGTCCACATCAGAGGCTCCCTGGGCTCTGGGGAGAGGTCCCACATGGAAGTGGTTTGTAAGTGGTGCAGGGCCCTCTCACTGTGGATAAGACCCTGTTGTGTGCTACAGCTGATCAAGGTGCAGGACATATATGGGCTGCATAAACAGACAGGTTAGATTGACCTGGGAGGGTAACCTCTAAATTCAGAGATTTTTTTTTTTTTTTTTTTGCAATGTTGGGTGTCAGACTCAGAACCTTACACATGCAAGGCAAGGACCCTACCACTGAGCTGCATTCCTAGTCCTGAGCTCAACTCTTAACTCATATATTCAAAAATGACCAGTGCAGAAGTGGATTTAGCTCCTCAGGGTGGTTAACTGGTCCAGCTTGTCTGGGAAAAGGGTGTGGGAATTTTCAGTGTCAAACTAGGGTATGTCCAATAAGCCAGGTTGGTTGGTCACCCTTAGTACCTGCTAAGGCTTGAATGTGTCCCCCAAAGGTTCGTATGTTAGAGACGTGGTCCTCAAATCCATGTTAGTGATATTTGGAAGTGGGACTTTTAGGAATTAATTAGGGTTAGATGGGGTCATGAGGGTAGAGCCCCATGATGATATTAGTGGCTTTCTAAGAAAAGACCTGAACGAGCACCATGTGACGCCTCTGCCATGTTGTGATCTAGCATGGTGGCCTGTACTGGTCAGCACCTGTGCTTGGCCTCCCCAGCCACCAGAGCCACGAGTCAAACAAATAAACCTCTATTCTGCATAGCTCCCTACCTGTGGGATTCAGCTACAGCAAGAAAAAATGAAGCACAGTGCTATCCATCATTCCCTTCTTTCCCCTGTGTGTCCAATGTAGATGAAGTTTCAGGAGTTTTGCATGCACTGTAAAGAATTTGAGAATTTCCTAGCTATGAAAATTCTAATATGAATTCTTGCAATTTTGTTGTATATCAGTGTCTTAGTCACTTTCTTGTCTCTGGGTCACAGTACCTGGCACCTACAACTTCAAGGAGAGGTTTACTTTGGCTCACATTTTAGTGCAGGGTTGGCCCACTCCAAAGAAGAAACAGTGTGGCGGAGGGGCCTGGCGAAGAGCAGCTCACAGCGTGGTGAACAGGAAGCAGAGGGAGAAGGGAGGAGCTGGGGCACAGTGACGCTTCTTCCCATCAGGCCCTGCCTCCTAACAGCAGCGGGCTGTGAGGCCCCATCATCCACTAACCTTCCAAGCACAGGAAGCTTGGGCCGGGGACTTAGCTCAGTGGTTCCACTGACTGCCTCGCAAGCTCAAGGTCCTGAGTCTGATCCCCGGTACCAAAGAAAAGAAAAGAAAAGCCAAACACAGGAGACTTTGGGGGCAGTGGTCGATAAAATATAGTCACTTCGTTTCTCACAGTTCTATGAATCCATCCTAACAGTGAAGCCATTAAGCTTGAAAGACGCTGTTACATTTTCTCAAACAAAATGTTAATATGTTTCTATAGGCTGAGCTCTGCTGAATGCTTCAAATTATTTCTTTTCATCATGGAATTTGATTTTTTTTTTTTTTTTTTTTTT